GAGGCTCCATCTGAAATACTTTGGACTTGTTGTAAGGAGGGACTGGTCCTTGGAGAGGGACATCATGCTTGGTAGGGTGGAGGGACAGTGCAGGAGGGGAAAGCCCTCTATGAGGTGGATGGATTCAGTGACTGGGGTAATCGGGATGGGTGTATTGGAGATGGTGCGATTGGCACAGGACAGAGTAGAGTTTAGAGCTATTGTACACAGGGTCGCTATGAGTCGCAAGCAACTCACCAGCACATAACAACAACAACCCACAGTAACAGCTGTCAAGAAATCAAAAGACTTATTACATTGGGAGTATCTGCTGTCAAGCACCCCTTTAAAATGCTAAAAAGCAAAAATGTCAGTTTAAAGAACAGCCATGATCCACATCATGGTATCTTCAAACGTTTCCAAAACTTGAACAAAGCATAGAAGACAGAAGAACTGATGCTTTTGAGTAGTGGTGTTGGTAAAGAGTTACGAATACACCCGGGAATGTCAAATGAACAAACACACCTATCCTGGGGGAAGTGCGAGCAGGGTGATCCTTAAAGGCAAGGATCTTTGTTACACACGCATTGCGCATGCTATCAGGAGAAGCCAATCCTTCCTTGGAAGAAGATTATCATGCTGGAAAAAGGGAGAGGGGTCATTGAAAGAGAGGAAAAATCTGAAAGATACGGAATGAAATAATTATTATAACAATGAATTCAAGCTTTGTGGAGACGTGTAGGATGAAGCAGGCTCTGACAAGGTTCTGTTCTGTAGTTCGCAGAGTTGTGAGTCATAGTCCACTCGACAGCAGCTGACCAATATAACCACATACTAAGGAGATTGGAAAAAATGCCACAATGTGGGGTAAAATATTTTAAACTTGCATAAAACTAAACAGATATATAAATAAAAGACTAGATGCAACAGCAAAGTACTAGCATCCAGAATATATAAAGAATTGTCACGGTTTCATAAGAAAAATACAAACAAAGGAAGCAAAATGAACAAACGACCTGATGAGGAGCTTTAAAAAATCAGGAGGCTCAAATGATGGATATGAAAATTCAAATACATTAGGAACCAGGAATATGAAAACAACAGTACTTTGAGGGAGGACTGTATCCCTAAAAACACTAGAAAACCAACAGCTAGCTAATAGATATGAGTAACTGCAATTCTCATTTACTTCTTGTGGGGTGTAAATTTATAAAACATCTGCAGAATGCATTTTGGCTTCACTTAGTAAAGCTGACCATGTGAGTACATTACAACTTAAAATTCCACTCTCAGGTATATACAACAGTAAAGTCTAAAATATAAAAAAATTTTTTACGATAATATTCCCATAAAAATTGTTCAAGTGCCTCAAACTGAGAACAACTCAAATTTCCAATGAAGAATAGGTAAGTTACTTGTAGTATATGCACTTCATGAGTTAATATACTGCAGTGGAAGTGAATAAACTATATATACATCTACAGAGCAGATCTCACAATATTAAAAGAAAAAAGTTAAGGAAGAAAACCTTCTCTAATGAAACCTTTCCAGTTTAATATTTTAATCCAGCAATTCCATATTTGATGCCTACTCTTGCTTAACACTTAACTAACTTTCAAACATACTTTATATTCTGTTTGTTGTTTATAGCTAATTTTCTCAGCCATAATTGACGCTCTTTAAGAATATATCTTTTTGTGGTTCTTGCTTACATAATATAAAGGTGAGTCACCAAAAATCAATGCTAAGAGCACAGTATATCTTAGTAAGTATTTGCTGAATTAATTAGAATGATTCTCATAATGCAAAGTTCAAAAAATAGGTAAATCTAACTATCACATTAATAGTAAAACAGTAAATATAAGTTTTATATTAAAAAGAATGTGGCAATAATTATTACAAAAGTCATGGTAATGATCTCTGTGCATAGAGAAAGCTAAGGAGATGTGAGAGAGGCAAGCACGAACTGTCTCCCTTTCGACTTGGACTTTAAAATGGACATTTACATGTGATAATGTCTGATGTACACCAAGTGTACATTTTATATACACACATGTGTAATTAAGAACATATTTCATATATATTCAAATATTTAATTCTATTAATCCATCTCATACCTCAACTCACTGTGTACTAACCCTGACTCTAAATTACCTATCATTTCCATTATATAACACAAAGTCAGGCAACAACTTTAATATGTCCTAAACACAGGGAGGATATGTGCCTAGGAACTTGACAGACATTTTGAGATTTACAACAATTCACGTATACATTTTTTACTAGAAAGGGAGTGAACAGATATTAAAGATCAGTCAACAGAAGAAAATATGTTTTTACGAAAGAAATAAGGAACTCGTGAAACATTACAGAACATGGATGACCCTGGAGGACATTATGTTGAGTGATATATCTCAGTCACAAAAGGACAAATACTGTCTAACATCACTATTACAAAAGAGGGCTGACATGGGAGGTTGGAGGGAAACTAGGAAAAGAGGAACTAGATAATGGGCATTGCATTGAAACAGATTAAGGAAAGAACTATTTTAAAGGAATATATGATTAGGCATTATTTATATGACAACAGTCCATTGCAAAGTGGACAGCAGGAGGGGTAGGTCAGTTGAAAAAAATTAAGAAAGTGAATGGGAGGAGAGGGAAGAGAAGAGAAGGAGAGGGAGGAAAATGTGCAACAACAAATGAATGAAAATCTAACTTTTCTATATACTTTCATCAAACGGGGAACAAATATTTGGTAATACCATCTCAGACAAGAGTCTTATAACAAAAGTTTACAGAATACTCCTTGTTCTCCACAAGAGAAAGACTAATAACCCAATAAAAAAATGGGCAAAAGACATGGAAAGAATTTTCACAGAGGAAGATATTAGAATGGCAAACAGACACATGAAGAAATGCTCCAAATCACTGGCAATAAGAGAGATGCAAATCAAAACCACAATGAGGTACCATCTCACTCCAGTAAGAGTGGCAAAGTTTAACAGGGCAGCAAGTAATAGATGTTGGAGAGGATGTGGTGAGAAAGGAACTCTTACACATTGTTGGTGGGATTTTAAAATGGTGCAACTATTCTGGAAGGCAGTTTGGCGCTTCCTCAAAAAAGCTGAACACAGAAATTCCATATGACCCAGCTATTCCACTACCTAGAATATATCCTGAGAATATGAGAACTGAGGAACAAATTGAGATTTGTACACCAGTATTCATAGCAGCATTACTCACCATTGCAAGAACATCGAAACAGCCCAAATGTCCAACCACAACAAATGGATTGAGAAATTATGGTACACAATGGAATACTATGCAGCACGCATGAGCAATAACTGTGTAAATTATTACCCAATTTGGGAGGGACTGGAGAGCATTATGCTGAGTGAACTAACTCAGTCCCACAAGGATAAATATTGCATAAGACTGTTACAGTAGAATGATTATAAGGATCCAGGAGGGGTGGGAGAGGCTAGAAGCAGAGGGATGTGGATGTAAGGGGGTTGAGGGGATTACTCATTGGATTGTACAATTTGATGAGGGTGGGGAGGTGAGGGAAATTGAAAGAATGTGCTCGAATTTGTTTTAGAATTTTTTAAATAAACTAGTAAAAAAATGGAAAATATTATTCTACCCCATCCAAGAAAATATCAATATAAAAAACAGCTTTCTACTGTCACTGGTCATTTTTATATATCTTAATTCTGAATGTCAAGTGTGTCCAATATACCTGTATGCTGCCAAACTCAACATTTTCATAGTGGAAATGTGCACATTCAGCCATCTTCGGAAAGTGACCTTTGGTGAAGGGTAACCTGAAGTATATGAAAATAAATCAGTAAGAAAGACAATGCTGGTATCCTGAAAATTGCTTAGCTTATGAGGAAAAACCAATTACTTTCAAGAGTTCATGCAAGCAAAAATATTTAATAAGCCCATGCACATGAACACACATAATTAACACAAATCTTTTTCAAGCTACTACAGCAAATAAAAATTATGTTTAGTACACAAGTCAAAAAAGAAAAAATAAAAGCTCTTTAAATATATTAATCTAATCTTAACCCAACACAATGGCCACAGAAAAGTTGTAACGGCGGTGAACGTTACAGAAACTCAACAGCCAGCTTCCAGGCAGCAGCAACAACGGCACCATAAAGCCCAAAGCTAGATTTACCTGGGAATGCTGTCGCAGCCCATCAGTCCTGTGCTGTTGGATCTGGGTGCAGAATGAACAGGTTTACCCTTGTCTTTCTCTACTTAGCAATGAAACTTCGTTGTCTAACTAAACCAAGTGCTTCTGACCCCTGGCAGCCCTGAGTGTGTCATCAAGTTAAAGCTGGGCTCCAAAGGCTTACTTTTCAGAAGTGGAATGCCAGACTTTTTCCTGGAGGCACCTCTGGGAGGATGCAAACACCAGCCAAGTGGGTTCAGAATCTGTATTACCCAGGGAGTCCTACTAGAAGGTGAAAGATGTATTTCCAGTTAAAACTTAAAACAGATACCTTGAGATATTTTATTTCAGTGTCAATTACTGGCACCCATTCCATGCTTCTAAAAAGCAAATACTAAGTCAAATAATAAAGAATTTTTTAAAAAAAATTCATGTGTGCCTGCATTAGGAAGGACATACCTGGACTGTTTTTGTTAAATAATGTAACAAATAGATAATGATGTAAATCTCTTTAAGAACATGATTAAAGCACACTTTTAGACAAATGTGCAACCTGTATTATGACACAGTTGAAGTTTTGAAAGCACAATAAAGAGTATGTACATTAACAGTCTATATAGTACAGGATCAAAGCAAAAGTTTTACAGAAACTAAAGGACTAGTTTTGATTTTTACAAAATAAAACACGTTGTAAAATTAATCCAAGCAAACCCAAATCCAGTGGGGTCAAGTAACCTCCTATGTGACAGAAACCCTTCCTAGGGTTTCTGCCACCTTTACAGAAGAGCACCACCTCTTTCTCCCATGAGGTGGACACATCTTTCTCCATGGGGTGGACACATTGTTCTCCCATGGGGTGGACACATCTTTCTCCCATGGGGTGGATGGGATGTCTGAACTGCTTAAAAAGCACACTCTTCAGAGAGCAGTGAGCTCTTGGCAGCGGTGGCCTAGGATCCCTCCATTCAGTAGACTGGCTACTTACTTTTTCACATGCTTCATCTTCATGCTGGCTGTGCTGCCACATGTCTTCAGAGTAAGGTCTCCAGAAATATCTGGAACATCTGCTCCCCTTGCCTTTAAAGACAAAGAGACAATGGGCTTATGACTATTACTTTTTTATGACTGTTACTTTTGGATTAAAAATAGTCACCTAAGCATTTAACTTTCCTCTGGAAAACATTTTGTGAAAATTAGAATTTTTATGCTATTACAATGAAATTTCAAATTCACCACGTGTGAACAGGAGTTGTGGGAATAAATTAACCTCGGTTATAATGACTAATAAAGGTTAAAATGGTAAGAGAAACATAATTACATGATCACAACATGTATTTTTCATACTAAAATCTGCTAACATATATGCAACACTTCCAACTTACTCCTTTGACTGCCAGTTTCCACAGTGGTGAATTTTCCATTCAACTGTATCATTTAAAAAAGATGAAAACTCCTGAAAATCAAAAGGTCTTAATATTTATAGGTGGGCAAAAAAAATTTATGCTGTATTATCTATGATTGATTCATTATTGACTATTTAGACTGCATATTAATTATAACAGAAAATCTTAAATTCTAGGCAATGTCTGTGATTCAAGCCAGAACAATGTGTGTAAGGCTGTGTTCTCTTGCTTTTCCTATTGGATGTTTCGGTTCTGTTTCACAATCTTTCAGCAGCTGTGGATGCTGCTGCCATGGGCTCCCTGCTTCCCACGTCCCAGACATTCAGGATGGCAGCATTGTTCTGTTTATGATTCTGTGTCCTTTTGCTCTCTCTATTCTACTTCAATTCAGTCTCTTCCTTCAGTCAATGTTTGAACTCCTTCTTCCTTTCTTTTAAACTATTAGATAAAGAACTGTCCTAGTTATCTTTGTTTCCTGGTGTCTTTGGTGCAGAGATTCTGAACTGCTCTCTGCCTGGTTCACCATCTCTTTGTTTATACTTATACCTAGGCCAGGAAGCTATTGTCCAAACAGAACAAGGGAATACTGTATAGTTCAAAATCAAGGAAGGTTTGCATCAGGGCTCTATCTTTTCTCCACATCTATCCAATTCATAGAAACAAATTATTCAATCAGTTCGATTACGTGAAAAAGAATGTGCCATGAGTACTGGAGGAAGACTCAACCGCCTGTGCTATAAAAATAACAAACTTTGCTTGCTGAAAGTAAAAGGGACTTGAAGCACTTGCTGCAAAAGATCAAAAACTACAGCTTCAATAAGGGTTGTATCTCCACATCAATAAAACAAAAATTCTCACCCCTGTACCAACAAGCAATGCTGTAACAGATGGAGAAAAATGTTGGCAATAATTAAATGTTACCTTGATTCACAATCAAACACCAAAGTAACAGTAGTCAAGAAATAATAAAAATTTAAAAAATTGCATTGGAGAAATCTGCTGTCAAGGACACCTCTAGAGCACCAAAGAGCAATAACGGCAGTTTAAACACTAAGATGTTCCTGCTATAAGCCATAGTCTTTTCAATTAATTCCTATGCATCTGAAAGTTGAACAAGAAATAAGGATGACAGAAGAAGTGATGCCTTTCATTTGTACTACTGGAGAAGAGTTCTAAATACATTGTGAACTGCCAAAAGAACAAACAGCTCTGTCTTGGATGAAGTGCAACCAGGGTGACCCTTAGAAGCAAGGATGGTGAAACTTAGTCTCACTAATTTTGGGTATGTTGTCAGAAGTGGCTAGTCCTTGAAAAAAAGACATCATGCTGAGAAAGGTACAGGGTCAGAGAAAGAAAAGAAGACCCCCAACAAGATGAACTGACACAGTGAATGTAGCAATGGTCTTGTTACAGAGCGTTTCAGTGATATTGAGTGTGGCAGAGATCACAGCAAAGTTCCTATATGTCATAGGGTCGCTTTGAGGCTTCAGTGTTACTTAATATCACAGGCTTTTCAAGTAAAATGATTTCTTTTCTTTAGTAATGGAATAAAAATAATTTTACCTTATAAGTATTGTTGTTGTTTTTGTTGTGAAGTGCCGTCAAGTAGTAGACAACCCTACGAACCAAAGACCAGAACACCTAAATAACTTTCATCGCTTCTCCAAGTTCATAGGGTTTCTGGAGGCAAGGTATCTCAGAAGTGGATGCCACTCATGCTTCCAAGTTGTTTTAATTGGGGAGCCCCACAAAATACTGTCCACCATGGGTAACCATTATTGCATATGACACAGTGTTCAGCGTCACAGCAACCACAAGTTACCTCTGTACAACAAATGGACAGAGCAGTGCTATGCCACTTAGAAGAATGTTTGACCAGAAACAATTGAAACCAGGCCTGAGGACTGCAGATTAAAATCACTCACCTTTGACGCAGAGCATAACTTCCTATCCACCAGGCCCAAAGAGCTCTCTTCTTCTTGTTGTTGTTGTTTTAAGTGCGATCGAGTCATAGACAACTCATAGCGACCCTATGAACGAAAGACCTGAACAAATGCTTCACTTTCATTGCGTCTCCAAGTTCATATGTTTTCCGGAGGCAAGATATTTCAGAAGTGGATGCCACTCCTGCTTCCAAGCTTTTTTAATTGGGGAGCTCCATCAAACACTGTTCACCATGGGTAACCATTATTGCATTTGACACATCAGTGTCACAGTGTTTAACATCACAACAACCACGAGTTACCCCTGAACAGCAAATGGGCAGATGAATGTTATGCCACTTAGAAGAATGTTTGAGCAAAAATAATTAAAACCACTGAAGCCACATGAATTTTCAAAGGCCCATCTTATAATCAATATATGAAAACCATTAAACCATTTTCCTTTTCTTATTTTATTCAATATATTTGAGATAATCATTCACATATTGAACCTACCCTTAAAAATAGGCACTACTTACTTTAGTATAATCCCATTTGTATACAAAACAAACCCTTTACATATTCACACTTTGTGTTAAATGTACATAAAAGAACAAACAAAAAAGGCTGTATATTAAACACTGGTAACTTCCAGAATAATAATGTGAAGGGAGCTAACTTTTTATTCCATACAGTACCGTAGATCTGAAATTTTTTACAACATATACTTATGGATTATACATAGAAGTTTTATTTTTTAAAAGGTTTTTAACCCAACCTTCTGCTGTTTCAAGGAGCCAAAAGAATGTCTGTTCAAATATTTCTATCTTGCTTGCCTCATTAATTTATTTAGTAAATCTTTTTGTTCACTCACAATATATTACTTCCAGGGCAGTGCATTAGTTGGAAGTGTCATTTAAAGTGGTTTGACTCTATCTTGATATTTGAATTTAATAACTACACAAATTTGGATAAAATGTTTTTAGAACTCTTGCTATATGCTATTTAAAAAAAATCAAGTAGATTTAGAAAATAACCATCCTCCATTTCTAAACTCAGACAATGTATGTGGTACCAAAGAGTATATTATTTTCTGAGGACACCGGTTTATTATTATGTGTCAAAATGATTTTGATGCATATTGACTCCATACAGCAGAGAACTACCAACATTTCCTGGATTGTCATCTTTACAGGAGGAGATAATCAGGTCATATCTCCCACAAAGCCTCAGGTGGATTTGAACTGATTTTGTTATTAGCAGCAAAGGACTTAACTACTGCCCCGGGGGTTTCTTTGTAGATCTATGGGACTCTCAGGAGAGTCTGCTTTTAATGAAAGCACATGTTCTTTAGAAGTTATTTTTCCTAAATCTTGATCGGTGATTACAGAAATGCAAGTTTTAAAAGATGGCAGTAATTTTGTCTAATATAGTAACTTAAGAGAATGGTGAAGCTGAGTAATTCAAAGTAAATTTGTCAGGCTGTTCTCTCACCCCACTGCCTGCGGAGTGGCAGAGATGTGCTGAAATGATTTTTGATAAATAGGTTCAAAGTCAACAAAAATATTAGAAATAATGCTTCAATTGGAAATAAGCCCCCATTTTCCAACAATGATGGTTTGTAGTAGATAATCTTCAAGGGAATATTTGTATGTTATTTATTTATCTATCAAATTTCCTCAGTGGAGTCAAGAGTAGTTTCATTATTTTGGTATCCTTTCATTATACTGACATACAATTTAAGCATAGAAAGCATCCTAAATTTTAAGTGGAGAAATACTGATCATTATATGCGATATTTTCAAACATAATACAAACTCGAAGGTAATTTGTACTCTTTTAAATGTCTTTATTTTAAAATAATATGCAAAAAGGGTCTTGTTATGGAGAAAAATGTGGCATTTTTTATGTTCTGAAAATGTGTTGAAAATACAAAATTGGCTTTTGATGTTGTTACCTTAAGTAAATTATATTTCATGTTTTAGTGTATGTGGGGTATTAAACTTGATCAAAATGTTATACAACAAAAATCCCAATGTTTCTTTAATAAATGGCTGTAACATTCTTCAATTTTGTTTACTTATCCAAGAAAAAGTACTTCCCACTCTACTTTTACTCTTCATCCTTAATTGAATTTAGTTTGTTTATCCTTAGCCTATAGTTGCTTGGATCTCTTCTGAAGGTAATTTCAAGCTGAGATAAAAACTTATTCATGCCAGCCAAAAGGGTCTGAGGACTGTTTGCGACTGTGTTCTTGGATGGAATGCCATCAAAAACAATGATCTGATCTGCTAGACAGGTAGCCATGATGAAGTCATGTTCTACCACAAAGGCTATCTTTTTTGTCATTGAAGTATGAAGCGTTTGACAACTCTTACTGCCATCAATCGTTGTTCAGAATCCAAATACGCAGGTGGTTCATCAATTAAGTAGACATCAGCAGGTTTGACCAAACACAAAGTTGAAGCTACGCACTGCAGTTCACCACCAGATAATGTCTGTACCTCTTGATCAATGATGTTTTCAGTTTGTAGAGGCTTCATTACATCAGTTACAAATTGTGGATGAGTGTAAGTATCTCTTATTTTTTCATGTAGTAACTGGTGAACACTTCCAGTTGATTTGGGACTGATCTTCTGTGGCTTTTAACTGACATTTAGAACTGGTACTTCTCCTCTTCATCAGGTTTAAGTCTTCCAGCAAGCAATCTGGTAAATGTTTTACCGGTACCATTTTCTCCAAGCATCACCAT